TAAGTCGCCTAACTCTCTGGTAAAATTTTCGGGCATTCCTCCTGTCGTCCAACATTTCAAGCTCTTCGCACTCACGTATTTCGGCCTCTCTCTTCTTGTTGCGGCGAATAAGTCTCGCTTCCCTCTTCAGATCCCTATGGCGGTCCCACATAGCGTGCGTTGCGCCTGATCGCAGCGTGACCCTGTAGGCGGCATCTTTTTTCCCTGCAGCTTCCTGACACTCCTCATCGTACCAGTTGCTCTTTCGGGCTCGCTGAAATCCGACTACTTCTTCGGCGGCGGTACTTAATGAGAGGGAAATGTGGTTCCACTGCTCGCATATGTCGGTTTGTTGAAGAGTGCTCTCTGTGAGCAGGTGTGAGAGTCGAGTAGCGAAAGCGCTGACTGTCTGTTGTGATTGCAGCTTTTCGACGTTAAGCTTTCCTTGCATATTTGGGCGCACATTTTTTGCTGCACAGAGGCGGGTGCGTATCTTGGCTGCAACAAGATAGTGGTCCGAGTCGATGTTTGGGCCTCGGAGTGTGCGTACGTCTAAAACACTGGAAGCGTGCCTTCCGTCTATCACAACATGATCGATTTGGTTTCTCGTTTTTCGATCCGGAGACAGCCAGGTAGCTTGATGGATCTTTCTATGCTTGAACCTAGTCCTGCATACTACCATGTTTCGGGCCCCGGCGAAGTCGATCAGCCTCAATCCGTTGTCGGACGTTCCGTCGTGGAGGCTGAATTTTCCGACGGTGGCTCCAAAGATCCCTTCTTTGCCCACCCTGGCATTGAAGTCGCCAAGCACGATTTTGATATCATGACGGGGGCAGCTCTCATAGAAGAGATCCTTGGATGCCTCATCCTTCTCTTCCGTCGGGGCATGGGCGCAGATGAGCGAGATGTTGAAGAATCTCGCTTTGATGCGGATTGTGGCTAGACGCTCGTCCACCGGGGTGAACGACAGTACTCGGCGACGGAGTCTCTCTCCCACCACAAATCCAACTCCGAATTTGCGCTCCTTTACATGGCAGCTGTAGAAGACGTCGCAAAGCCCCAGACATTGTGTGCCTTGCCCCGTCCAACGCATTTCTTGGATGGCGTTGATGTCAGCTTTTGTCCTTACGAGGCCAGCCGGGCAGAGGCACCTTCCCCATTAAGGGTCCGGACATTCCAGGTGCATGCCCTCAAATCGTAGTCCTTTAAACGTTTGCCGTGGTCGTCATCATAAGGGGGGGTTCTCATCCGAGGCTTTGCCTTGCTTCTTCACTGGAAGTCGTATTTACGTGGCGGGTCCCAACCCCAGCGCACAACCCATTGCTGGGACGGGGATGGTTTCGCAACGAAATACACGTTTATATAGCGAGCCGCTTGCTCCAAGCAGACACCCGCATGCAGCCGCACCTACTGGTGAACAGACGCTGCAGACTTCAGTGAGCCCTTAAACCGAATAAGTCAGAGTGGCCCCACCAAAGCTCCCTCTCTTTCTTCCGTGACCCAAGGCTCCACTCGGATTGGTTACCGCATCTCGCACATGGGTTGCTCACTTTGCCCAGAGTGCGCGAACGAGGACGCAAGAGTCGGGATTGAGTATAGCCATGCAACTGTAACTGCACACCCAGGGCAATGACTATACCCCATTGCACTCCATTGCGAAGTTAAGCTATTTAAGCAAAAATACGGGCTTGAATTTATGTGTGTGTATGTAGCGGACTTTCAGATTTTTTGAGCTGGGTGGCTAAGGAATTCATCGATATTTACTTAAATTTGATATATACCATGGTTCATTAGCACAAAATTCGTTTTTCATAAAATTTTAGGAAAATGGTCGTGGCACTGGTTACCTTTTCCACTCTTGCTCGGGAGAGATTTTTTGAAAATATTTAACGTTTTGCGAGGCTAGGCGTTTCTCATTCGGAGAGAAAAACGAAGTTAACAATATAATAGAAAAAAGGAATAATTGGACACAGTAACTCACAACAAAGTAACAACTATCCTCTAACATTAATCGAGGACTGTTTAAAATACTTAGAGGGCAATACAATTTTCACTGTCATAGATCTCGAATCGGGTTTTTATCATGTAAAAATGGGCAGCGAATATATAAAATATATATTTTTTTATCCCAAACGGCCAATATGAATTTTTAAGAATGCTGTTTGGTTTGAAAAATGGACCCGCCATATTTCAGAGATCTATTATAACAATTTTAAGAAAATTTGTCGATAATAACAAAATTATGGTATATATGGATGATATAATTCTGTGGTCTGTGGTCAATAACCGCCTAAGTCGACTTAAGAAAGAATTGAGTTATATATGCTATAGTTTTCTGCAACTACTATTCCATGTGTATGTGAAACTCCTATCTCGTTACCTAGGCTATTTAAAAAGTTATAGATAAAAATATTTTGGTTTACCCATAAGGTTAACATTACAATCCAAATCTTTAAAGCGTTTTTTCTCGAATTCAGGTTTTTCGACTGAGGCGATTATTGCTTATGACCACAGAATTATTGCAAACAACACCATAGATGAGCATTATGAGTTAGCTCAAAAAGTTTTGAGACACTTAACTGATTATAGTCTCCGTATAAAGTTAAATAAATGTAAATTTGCGTATAGTGAGGTAGAATATTTAGGATACAAAGTAGCAGGTTGTGGAATTCGGCCTTCAGACAGTCCTATTAGTGCAATTACAAATTTTCCGACGCCCATAAATCAACGAGAGTTACAATCATTCGTAGGATTATGTTCGTATTTTCGAAAGTTTGTCCAATCCTTCTCGCTATAGCCCGTCCGTTATACGAGCTTCTGAAAAAAAACTCCAAATTTTTATTTAGTGAAAAATGTGTTTCCGCTTTTAAGAACCTTAAGGAAAAATGAAAATCAGGACCCGTAATAGCAATTTATAATCCCAAAAATGAAACCGAACTGCACTTCGATGCAAGTTCCAACGGCCTCGGAGCAATATTAGGTTAGGTTAGGTTACACTGGCCGGCTGTTGCGCCTTACAT